TGACCCCTAGATCCCTTTCTGTAGGGCTCCTTCCTAGACAGTCACTTCCCATTCTGTGTGTGTGAGACTGATTGTTCCTTCCTAAGTGAAGCACTTTGTTTTTGTCCTTATTTAAATTCATCCTATTTACCTCAGACCATTTCTCCAGATCATTTTGAATTATGATCCTATTCTCCAAAGCAGTTGCAACCCCGCCCAGCTTCGTATCATTTGCAAACTTAAGAAGCATGCTCTCTATACCAATATCTAAATCGTTGATGAAGACATTGAACAGAACTGGTCCCAAAACAGACCCCTGCGGAACCTCACTTGTTATGCCCAGCAGTAATTCCAGCAGGTTTGGGAACCGTTAATAACAACTCTGAGTTATCCAGCCAGTTACACACCCACCTTATAGTAGCCGCATCTAAGTTGTATTTGCCTAGTTTATTAATAAGAATATCATGCGAGACCATATTTCTGCAAGCACAACACTGAATGTCAGTGGCAAAATTGTTAGCCTTATTCATCTAGAAACCAAATATGGAAATGAAAAGGTTTTTTTTAAAACCTCCAACTCCCTACTGCAGGGGTGGGGAACATAAGGCCCAGGGGCCAGATGCATCCCCGACATGCCTGGATCCGGCCTCTGAGGCTCAGTGCTACCCCAGCTTTGGGGAGCCCACGCTGGTGAAGGGTGGGAGTTTTTTGTTTCTCAGTGGTGTGCAGCCCTCGACTGATTTTTCTGTGGGTCAGTGGCCCTGACTTACACAAAATTTCCCTGCCCATGCCCTACTGAATCTGATAATTCTCTAAGTGGTGCAGTGAGATGCATTATTACCCTTCTTAAACATGAGGGAATTACACAAAATGTAGAAGACTACACGATTCCTGGGACAGAAACTGTCTACCCAAGAACTTAATATAGTTCAGCCACAAGAAAAACAGGAGAAGTATCCAGTATGCTGATGTGATGCTTATTTTAATAAGCATAGAATTGTTAATGTGACCCAAATGTGTTATATGGAACACAAGGTGTGGTGGTCCCTGGTGAGCTAAGGGGTCGTATTCATTCAGAAAGCTACTGCAAATATCATTTCCTGAGTCTGTGACTTCACCCATGTCACCCCTCTCTGCCTGCCATCACCGGCTCCCTTTTCTCTATCACACCTCACACAGGGTACTTGTTTTCTCTCCACACCCTTCACAATTGTCCCTGTGACCAGTCAGCTCTCAGTCAGCCTCCAAAAGTTGGCTCCTACCTCCAGTCTGCCACATAGTGCCTTCTCCCATGCTGCCCCTCACACACGGGAGTCACTCCCTAAAAACAGACACAAAGTGCTTCCTCTTCTACTGCCAAACACCCCTCTCAACTCACCTGTGCTTGGAGGCGTATGTCAGTCTTGAGAACAATTAGTTAGGCTACTAGAGCATTGAGATCACTGCCCTTCACTCGGCTCTATAGCATGTGGTTTCCCACCAATCTGCATCCGTTACCTGTATTTAGTCTCTGCCCCACAGGGCTGAAACCTTTCTGTGCTGTGTTTGTACAGCGCCTGGCACATGATAGAGTCATGAATGGGAAGGGAGATTATCTGCATATGAATGAATGAGAAGTGGGAGGTGTCCACCCGGCATTGTATTAAGAGTGTGCTCCACACTTGAAAACCACACCTCTGGAAAATGAAGAGTGACTGGAAAAAGAAGAGGAACAGAACAAGGCAAGAACAGACTTGTCATTCAATCTTAGGGTATGTCTACACTACCCCGCTAGTTCGAACTAGCGGGGTAATGTAGGCATACTGCACTTGCAAATGAAGCCCGGGATTTGAATTTCCCGGGCTTCATTTGCATAAGCCGGGCGCCGCCATTTTTAAATACCGGCTGGTTCGAACCCCGTGCCGCACGGCTACATGCGGCACGAACTAGGTAGTTTGGACTAGGCTTCCTAGTTCGAACTACCGTTACTCCTCATTCCACGAGGAGTAACGGTAGTT